TACCGCAGCAGCTTCTTATGGCGCAGCCATGCACCAGGGCTACACGATGTTGCTTTCCACCCCAGCTGGGACTCAAGTGGGACGTTTGTTGCATCTTACCCATTATAGTTTTTGTATGGGCCCGATGACCAAGATGGTGACTCATTTCGAGTCTTATTTTATTGGTGGGTCTGAATGGTCACAAATAATATGAAACTTCGGATTTTGGTCTTATTTTCTTTTGTAATTAGAAAAGTGTACTATACAAGAGGATAATGAAACTTGAAAGTCTAGCCATCAACGCTTAAAATAGAGAGAGTATATTTAAGGAAGAAGTAACACGGTGAGTATTGTCGTCGTTTTTATTTGTTTTCTGACAGTGGAGCACTGCCCCGTACCAAGAGAGTATGATTATATGAAAGCATAGTCTACAGTACTTCACACCTCAGAAGCAGAAGATCTTTATAGCAAGAAGTACCATGAAGAGGAACTGCAGAANGTTCATCCACCACAGACGTCCAACAGTTGATTCCAGGGTGCTAAGGGCACCCCGCTGCTCCATCCAACGGTACCGCAGTGACTGAATTTGTGCATCCCTGGCGGCGTGACGAATGGCCTGGTCTTGTGTCAACGGAGTTCGTGCCGCGCCCGCACCAACGGATTGCTCCATATTGATGCTGCCACTGAGAGAGCTGCGCGACATTCCCCCATTAATATTTCTGTCTCCGAGTCTGTCCATCATCATATTTGTAATGCGCGCCGTGCCACGCAGCGTTGACATAGACCAGAGGAGAGCAAAGGTCACGATGATAGCAAGCACCAGCAACAGACCTTGGAACAGCATGTTTGGCGCCTGGTTGCTGTTATCTCCATCGCCGCCATCAGAAATGGACCCTGATTGAGTCGCCGATTGGTTGCCACCGCCAGCGTCCTCATCCCCTGTGGAGACACTTACCGTGCCACCTGCCAAATCCTCTGAAATCATCTCTAGCATCAATCGGTAGCCTTGCGTCATCTCCCTAATAGCTCGGGGAATCGCGATGTATTGAATCGCTGTGAAGGCTAAGCTCAATTTTTTGCACCCTCCCCACACACAGACAGTGCAGTCACCGTCTACAGAGTCAGCGGTGAATTCCATGAATGCCTCTGTGCGGAACGAATGACCGGCGGTGACAGCTGGTGTCTGCGATGATGTCTGGTACACCAGAATGACAGAACCGTTGGCTGCCATTGTATATGCGAAACGATGAGCTTCATTAAGTGGCGTCAAGGTACCAGCCTTGGGAATGTCCACTGTTGTTGTGAGCGACACTGTACGATATCCGCTGCTCATATCACTTGAGTACTCCCACCTCCCCACTTCGAGGTCAATTTCCTTGCGTCGGTCGTGATACCGCTTGAGAAAGTCAGAACCGTTTGCGAAGGACGCCTCCCACAGTTTGGCAATCGTTACACCCTTCAGCAAAGTCGGTGCGATCATGCGTTTCTTGTCTTTCGTCTTCTCGCACGTGGAGAACATGGAAGATGTGACGCCGTTTGAGTACTGCTGCCTAGCGAAAAGCGCCTGCGGCATCACGCCAGAAGCACACTTGATCGGCTCGGACATTTTTTTTTTTCCAAGAATAAAACGGAGACTATGAACAAAGTTACAATAGGCGAGCGGCTGGGCAATGAGACTTCAAAGAAAAAGTTGTGTGCGCTTATGGAGGACACTACGCGCAAGCAATCTACTACACAGAAACGCAGCCAGATGGAAAAGAGCTAAGAAGAGAAGCAGGATATAATACACCACATAGGTGCACTCACACGCATAAGCAGGAACAAATCAAAAGTCTTGAAGTAGCAGGTCCATTTAAAATGAGGAAAAGATCGTAAGAAAAATCACAGGGAAAGTGGCAATGCTCTAGAAGCGCAGGCGCTGGAAGAACCAGCGGTTGCTTCCGGCGTTGTAGCGAGCCTGGAACAGCTTCTTCACCAGCTGCTTCGACTTCGTCTTCTTTGGGGCATCAGACACGTTGATGCGGCCACGCAGCTCCTTCGACAGGTCCATGTTGTACCGCGTCGGCAGGAAGTGCTTGTGGTTCACAACGCGCAGGAACACGCCCACCTGCGAGCGGCGCGTGATGGTGCGCTTGCTCATCCCACGGACAACCTTCTTTGGGTACTTCTTAATCCCGGCGATCAGCGAGTGGCCGTACGGGCGCTCCTTGTTCTTCGAGTCCGTGTTCTGCACGATCACCGCCTTCTTGCCGGCGTAGCGGCCGGACGTCACGATCACCACCTTACCGGGCTTGAGGAACTTCATCTTGGTCTGGAGCCGGGCAATGCTAATTCCCTTCTAACAGAAATAGTAAAAGGGGCACAACAGGGCGTTCACAACAGCAGGCATATAACAAGAAATAATAACGAAGAAGCATTAGCCGTAATTAAAGAATGAAGAGGAGAGGGAAAATGATGAAAGGCTTGAAAGCCAAGCCACGCAATCACCCTTGTTGATGTGAAGTAAGCCCGACACTTTCTGCAATACCGTAGCGGACACCAAGCGCTATCTCCTCGACGCTTAACTTTTTCCTCCGATGTGTATTGTTCACATTCTGCCGCGCCAACACCTCTAACTTATGCAGGAGCCCCGCGCAATGCGGTGGGATGGCGTCAGACCGGCACCGGGAGGCCGCCACGTCTACGCCGAGCACCAGCGCCTCTTGCACGCCCAACGAGCCAAAATTCTTAACGGCGAAGCGAAACACTTCGGTGGCAGCATCTGGATTAAAAGAGCAGATGTGAAGTGCGGTTGTTACCGCGTTCACTACTTGCCGTGGGCTACTGAGGAGCTGCGGCAGATGCTTTGTGTCGAGGTATTGCGATAGTCGCGCCTGGCTGTTCTCCGGGAGTGTCACGCCGAGCCGGTAGCCAATTGCCATCTGATTAAAGAGAAAGGTGTTAAGCTGCAGATTCCTGGAACCCGCAATGTCCAGGAGTCGCGTGGTGGCTATTGCGGCAGCCGCAGATTCAAATTTTTTCACCGCATCCATATACGCCCCTGTCGTCGGCTCTTCTAGTGCGACACCGCCTAGCGTGGGCCACTCCTTCACCAGCAGCAGCCAGAAGGAAATCTCCGCCATGTCGACAAAGAAACTCCGCGACGTCGCCAGTCGGTTTGTGGCCACTTCGAGAACCACTTGCGGGATAGGCGAGGGCACGCGACGCCGACCGACGCGGGACAGCGCCGCAATCAGCTCGCACAGTGTGGTGGCGGAGCGTATCTCTGTGTAGCCGGTGGTCTCCGAAAGCGGTCCGCGGAGGAGGCAGTCGAGGGTCTCATTCTCGAACTGCCGCAGCTCAACGAGGCCGACAAAGGCAAATACGGCACTGAGCAGCGGCAGCTCCACCACTTCATCGCGCGTGAGGAATGTGCCAAGGGCGAGCGACGAGTGGTGCGGCGCCCGCACAAAGCGCTGTGCCCTCGCCTGGCCAAGATTCTTCAACAGCAAGCACTTTTGTTTCGGGTGCAGTGAAGCAGCCATCTGGGGAATGTGGTTCAATGTGCTGGAAAGGAAGGGCACGGCGCGCAGGTGGTGGCGCGCCACAACACCGAGGACGCGGAGATGCTCGAAGTTGGTTAATTCGCGTTTATGAATGATATTTAGCACCCCGTAGTAGTCCGTCTTACGGCGGACGTTCAACTTCGACATGGAAGAGAGGTAGCGCGCGAGAAAGCTTGACGGAACATCGTAGAGCACGCTCTGCATCCCCTGCACTCGACCGTGCAGCTGTAGCAGCATCGGCTGTACTGTGGATGCATCGTAAGCGTTACCAGTCGCCGACTCCGTGTACACCGCTGCCGAGACCTCGTTGATGATCTGCAGTGTGTCCAATGCGTTGTAAGAGTCGGCGTGCGTCATGATGGCGTCGCACCACGCTGCCAGCGAAGTCGCTGCGTCGTTTCGGACGCCCTCATGACACTGCGATTGTCGATGCGGCTGCCGCTGCCCGGGAGGACTCTTCAGGACACCCCAGAGGAACACGGTGGTCACGACCTCTGCCCGCTCCCGCGGCGTCAGCACATCGAAGTGATTGTACGCGATGCGGAAGAGGCGCACCATCAGAGGGCGCGGCACCGCCAGCTTCCCCGTCGCAACATCCTCCGAGAGCGACATCAGCACAGGCAACAGATAAGCCGAGCAGTCGTTGCGCGATCCATCACCCTGCTCCAGTGCCGACACCAACGTCTCCAGCAGCTTTACCGCTACGCGTGCGGCAAACTCCTGGTCTGTACGGCTCATATTGTCGTCCTCGCGGCCCCAACGAAGCGCCACACCAAGAGACTCGACGCTCTTCGAGAGTTGCGAGAGCGACATGGCGGAGCGCACCTGTTCCTCATCTAGCCGCTGAAGGAGGCTTGTAAAAACCGGGTGGTGCTGCATGCGCAAAGACACGACGCGCAGTAGCCACGCACTTACCTGCGAAGGCGATAGCGCTGTGGCGAGCTGCCTCACACGGCTAAGCACACGCAACACCAGCGGGCGGCACTCGTCAGGCACGTCGCGCAATCCCCGGTCATCCGACGAGTACCGCCGCCCCTGCCGCCATTCACCGTCTCCCTCCATAGATGTCCTTGTGAGTGGAGTAACGCGGAGTGTGACGGCATCCAGCAACGTGAGGAGGTCCTGCTTGCTGAAGGAGTCCAACCGGGACTCCATTGTCTGGCAGATCACATGCAGCTCCTGCGACCACCCGAGACGCGTTCGGTAGTCGTCGTGCTCGACGCCCCCACCGGCACCGTCACCGCTACTGCTCTCACCTTCCCTGAAGGGCTCTGCCTCCTGCATCGCCTCGACAACAATACGCGCTATTCCGATGAGCTCCACTGGGCTACTCACCACATCAACGAGCGTCGTCGAGCGACTTCGAAGAATTGCCGCCAAATGCGGCTTCACACAGCGGTACGGCGTCACCTTCACTAAGCCCTCCATCACAAGTATACATTCGGTGGGGGAAAGATCATCCACGTCGGCGAGCAGGCTCTCCTGCATCTTTGATAGAATCAGAACTAACGCTGCAGAAAGGCTTTCGCGAACGGATTCCTGTTCACGAACGCAGCACGCCAAGCAATGGAAGATGTTGGCCCGAGAACGAATATCCGTCTGCAGGTACACCTCGTCTAGACGCCTCAAAAGTTCGCGGTCACGCACGTTAAGCGCGTCCAGCTGCCGCAGGGCGTGCATCCCCATCCCACAGTTTGCAGCCGACATGACGCCAGCAGCACTCAGCCGCTGGGCGAGAAGCCGCAGCCGCACCGCGTGGTGCAACATTATTACGTACAGTCCTCTGTCGTCGATGCCCTACCCCACTGGTGTTGATTTCCCGCTCCTGTACAATCGAGGAGCAATTCGATACATGTAAAATGGGGGAGAGAGAGAGAGAGAGAGAGAGAGGAAAAAGGAAGAAAAACAGAGAGTGGGCGATCAGTTGCGGAGGTTTTCAGGCTGCCGTTTTTTTTTTCGTTTTTGACAACTTAATACGTGCTCACATCAAGAGATGCACGTACACACATGCCCCCACTCAAATAAACCATTGCTGCTTACGATCGGTACGTCACATCGATAGAAATGAAAGGAAGCACGCGCGTACCTGGGCGACAACTGTGCACAACGACCCCCTAAAGAGGCTGCTGCAGCATCACCTTGCCCAGCAGGCGGGGGGGAACTTATGTCTTTTTTGGGGGGTTTGTGCGGCTTATTACTGTTGGAAAGGTATCGCAGACAGAAGTAGAAGGCGCTACAAGTGTTGCAACGGAAAGGATACTCGACGATGTGGGTTATCTCGCACTCGTGGCAGCCGTGTGGGTAGATGCTCTCAGGCAGTGTGGCGTAGAACAGCAGTCTGTCCCCCATCGTCTAAACGCAGCACGTCGTCCACAACGTCACGGAAAGAAGTAGTAGCAACCGGAAACAAAAGAAAAGGAGAAAGCGCAGTTGGAATGGAACAGCCAGCGGTTTTGGTTCCATTGTAAACTGTAGACCTCTTTCCCTTTGGGGGGGGGGGGGGGGNGGAGTTCAGGCGGAGGAGATCAAGGAGTGTTCCCCGTCCCTGCCACAACGCCAGGGCCACGTGGTACGCATCGGAGATCTCCACGTGGGGTGCCGCAGCTGCCCCACTTGGCGGCAGCGAAGGGCTCAGCATTACCTGCCCTTCGCTCAGAGAGACACCCCTCGCACTCACCGGTGCGTCACATCTGAAGCAGCGTGATCCATCGATGGAGCATTCACCTCCGCAAATGTGTGGTGGAGAACGTCAACAATGGCATCAAAGCGGGATGCACTTCGACGGCAGAGGAAATATCACTATTATCAGACGCATCGTTGCCAGGAGCATCTTCACAGCCATCGTCATCGCTGCCATCGCTGCTGTCGCCAGCGCCGCCGTGTTACATCGCGGTAGCCACAGCACAATTTAGATTGCACCAAGCAGCAACGTCCCGCAAAAACTCAACGAGGTCAGCATGGCTGCACACATGCGCCGATATCTAAACCGCTTAGGGAAAGCGCAGAGCCAACGTTACTCCACACCCAAAAGAACAGCAAATCAGACTTCGAAACTGGTTTTATCGGGTCACTGCTTTCATAGCCACCATCCACGCGGCGGAAATAGACTCCAGGAGGAGACGATCTGAGACCGTGAGGGAGAAGCTCTGGGGAAGAACACTCAAGAGGCCGCGCGGCTGCTTCTTTCATGTATGCGACGGTGTGGTTCCACGGCAGAAGGTTGAAACCGACACGGCTTGCGTCCAACCGCGCCAGAGTCATCGTCTCATGCCGCAACGCATCCCCCTCCAAAACAAAAAAAAAACGCCGCGTATTCGTCATTCGCAGGGGTGTCAGTCGCACCAAGCCACCGGCTGGCTTGTCCTCCTCCTGCAGTGCCCACTTCTTCCTAGCGACTCCTACAGCCCATGAAACAAAACGCAGTGCAGCTACACAGCTAAGGGTTGGGTTGGGGAGAGAAAGCAAAGAGAAGGAAGAGGAGCACATATCTTCGGCACCGTGGCGCAGACAACAAGTGAGTGTCAAAATCAGAAACTGCAACAGCAAGTTCACATGACTCAAGATACGAACAAAAAATGACCAGAGTAACACACTAAAGCCTCTAGAAGCGCAGGCGCTGGAAGAACCAGCGGTTGCTTCCGGCGTTGTAGCGAGCCTGGAACAGCTTCTTCACCAGCTGCTTCGACTTCGTCTTCTTTGGGGCATCAGACACGTTGATGCGGCCACGCAGCTCCTTCGACAGGTCCATGTTGTACCGCGTCGGCAGGAAGTGCTTGTGGTTCACAACGCGCAGGAACACGCCCACCTGCGAGCGGCGCGTGATGGTGCGCTTGCTCATCCCACGGACAACCTTCTTTGGGTACTTCTTAATCCCGGCGATCAGCGAGTGGCCGTACGGGCGCTCCTTGTTCTTCGAGTCCGTGTTCTGCACGATCACCGCCTTCTTGCCGGCGTAGCGGCCGGACGTCACGATCACCACCTTACCGGGCTTGAGGAACTTCATCTTGGTCTGTGTGCCACTGTGTTACAGTGGAAAATATTAAAGAAATTAGGGAGGAGCATAGAGATTTTCATTTGGTGTAAAAAAGAAGCATCTCAGTCGTAGTACTAGCAGCAGCTGACAGTCGCAGTGGTGCTGACAACATCAATAAATGCACGGTGCAAAATACACAGTGAGATGGGGTAAGATGTCGGATAGGCACCAGTAGCAAAGGCGGCACCATACCACACATCGAAGCATAGGTGGAAAATGCGCACGACAGAGTATTCGTGTCTCTGCCTCTGAATGAGTAGTACTTGGAATCCGTCTGCTCCCGCTCCAGAAGAGGTTCGAATACTGTTACTTGCAGCGCACTCTTCTGCAGTGTATCACCAGCAGCACGCCGAGTAGTTTGCGGGAAGTCATGCCACCGCGTCTGCATCGGGAGACAACATGATCTATATTTGGTTTGCTGAGGGCAGCGAGCACGTGTGTAGAGAGGCAATCAAGCAAAAGAAGAAACAAAGATTTGAATGCATCGATGCCACCTGCAGACATGTGTACCAAGTCACACATAATTCCTCAGAGTCACCCCACAAAATAGAGGGGGGAGAGACAAGTGAAACATCGAGCAGACATTTCGGTTGTTTTTTCCCCCTCCCCCTCCCTTTCCGCTGAAACAAAACGAAAAAAAAAACAAGAAGTGCCTGGTCAATTTTCTTCCGGGACGAAAGACATACGTGCAGGTCCCTTCTTGTGTTTAGTTCTGCTTGTCTCGCGCGCAAGAGCACAGACCCCCCTTATCAAGCATAATAAGGTAATTGCCCAGTAGGAGGCTTGTACTACAGTTCTTTAGAGCTAAGTCTTCGAGAAGCAAAGGCGTTCTTTTCAGTTCCTTCCTCTGTCCTTTCATTCGTTCTTTCCGTCTGCCTATTGGTTCGGCTGCGGATTGTTTTGTTTTGTATTGCTCACGAGAAAAAAAAAGAAAAATGAAGGTCCTTCTCTCTTTTTTTTTTTTTATATAACCCGGTAAGTCACGTTTGAAAAGAATATATATATATATATTGATAGATATAAAGATATGACGTCATTTCACCCATCTCATAGGTGCTTCTCTGCCTGCTTCCAGTTGACGACATTCCAGAATGTCTGCACGTACGCCGCACGATCGTTCTTGTAGTCAATGTAGTACGCGTGCTCCCAGACATCACATGCGATGATCGGCTTCAGGTGGCTCTCCGTCAGCGGGCAGCCGGCGTCGTGTGTCTGGTAAACCTTTAGCTTGCCCGACGCGGTGTCCTTGACGAGCCACGCCCAGCCGGAACCAAAGTGCCCCACCGCTGCATTGGTGAACTCCTCCTTGAACTTGGCGAAGCTTCCGAACGAAGCGTTAATCTCCTCTGCGAGTTTGCCCTTCGGCTCGCCACCGCCGTTGGGGCACATGCTTTCCCAGTAGAAGGTGTGGTTGAAGATCTGCGCAGCGAGGTTGAAGACAGGGCCCTTCTCTGTCTTGATAATTTGCTCAATGGTCTTGCCAGCGAGCGCTGTGTTTGACTGTGCTGCAGCGTTCAGCTTCGTCACGTAGCCCTGGTGGTGCTTGTCGTAGTGGAACGTCACCTG